CCCGGTCCCGCAGCGCCGCGGCCACCGCCGGCACCACCCCGGCCCCGGGGTAGTCGGCGAGGCTGCTCATGGTGCGCGGCGTGCCGCGCATGTGCATCAGGCAGATGGTGGCGCCCAGCCGACCGACGGTCGGCAGCATGTCGGCGTCCAGCGTGCCCGCGGAGACGTCGTTGACGATGTCGGCGCCGCGCGCGACGGCCGCGGCGGCCACGCTCGCGCGGTACGTGTCCACGCTGACGGCCACGTCTCGGCAGGCCGGCATGCTCCGGATCAGCTCCACGACAGGCAGCACGCGCGCAGCCTCCTCCTCGGCGCTGACCTCGGGGCGGCCCGGCGCGGTGGACTGGCCGCCGACGTCGATTATGGTGGCGCCGCCCCGGACCATGGCGAGGATGGTGGCGGAGAGGTCGGTGGCGGCGGCCGTGCTGTGCCGCCCGCCGTCAGAGAAGGAGTCGGGTGTCAGGTTGAGGATGGCCATGAGGCGCGTGCCGCGGTTGGGCGTGAGCGGCGTGAGCGGCGCGCCGTGGGCGGAGATGCGTGTGACGCAGGAGAGGGGCTCGCCGACGGGCAGGTCGTTGAGGTAGTCCTGAACGAGCTTCCAAGGCTTGGAGGGGTCGATTGACTTGGAGGGGATGAGTCTAGAGGTAGCGGTTAATCAGTAGGGGTGTTGTAGTACGAGGATCTGTTGGAGGCAGGGGAACTCACTCAGATAGTGGCCGAAGTACGAATTCGCGCTCGGGGATGCCAATGTGAGGAACAGTCAGTCTCTCGTTTGATATCCTCTCGTCGCCGTAGAGCAGAATGTCCAGGTCAATGTTTCGTGGGCCTTTGTCGATGAGTTTGCGACGGCCAAGGTCCCTTTCGATTGACTGGAGCTCATCAAGCAGGGCCATTGGCTCCAGTTCAGTTTCGACCTGGATGGGATGGCAAATTAGTATCTAATTAGGAAAGCATTCTAATCAAGACACGAGAATATCTCGTGGCTTATGACTGAGTATTTCCTGATGGCACCACAAGCGCATGCAACCCAAGCCAACAGAGTACACACAACGTACCTCACAGACGCCATTCAGGAAGCGGTCTTGGTCCGTCACGTACATGGGCTCCGTCTCCCAGAGGCTGCTCGTGCGGGTGACCTTGATGCCACGCTTGTCCATCTCCTTGCAGGCGCGCTCAATCTCAGCGACGCGGTCGCCCAGGTTGCCACCGAGCGCAATGTACGCGGTGGTGGTGCGCTTGACGCCTCGGCAGCCGCATCCCGCGTACGACCGGTGACTGCTAACTCTACTACTGCTGGCCACGAGCAGATCGGCCCCCCGCGGCAGGATGCGGCGACGGGTGCACACGGCGGCCGAGGATGGAAGCACGGCGCCGACAGCTCGTGACGCGATGGCACGGGGTGCATCAGTAGAACCCGCGCCGCGTCGGCGAGCGGAGGGCCGAGCGGCGCGGGCAAGAACCCCAGCGGTGAGCCGACTGTGCATGGTGCGATTGAACTGGATGGGAGTGCGTCTTTTGGGCTGTGCGCGCTATCGGCAACGCATCGTTTTTCATGGGCTGGTGGTTGAGGAGGTCGGCGGCTGCGGAGCAGGATTTTTAGGAGGCGCCAGCGGAGGGCGGCAGTGGCCACTTGTGCCGCCCTGGTAGACGGGGTTTCAGAACAATTGAACTGCTCCTTCTCTTTAGCATTCTACATGATGTAGCATAAAAAAAGGTATCTGCCTGTTTTCCAGTAGATACTGAAAGTGGCAGAGGCGCCTTGTTCGTACGCAGCGGTGCTCGGCAGGTTGCTGGATCGGAGGGTACCTGCCAAGTGTATCGGACTCCGTGGCAATTTGAAGTACCGTTGTGCCAACAGCTGTCAGTCACGAACGATGGCGCTGTAATACAGGCCAGCTTTCACGCTACAGCCCCTAGCCTATCACAGACAAGCTCAATTAATAGGTCACAGGGCGTGATTAGTTTCCGGATCACGGGTGCAGCGAGGCGTAAGGAGTAAGTAGCATCTGAAGATGAAGATTTGTGACAATCTGGCTCGCGAAGGCCGCCAAGTCCGAGCGGACGTAGTCGGCGAGACGAGATGCGGGTGCGAGATTGAGGGGCAGAACTGGGGAAAATGGTTATCAATCAGTACCAACTCCGGATTTGTCGTCGCCCTAGTGAATGGAGACTACCTAATGTACCGGCTCGTACGTACCGAGTGGACAACAGCATCAACTAACTACCTCACGCTACCTTGTCGGCCTGGGTCGCATCGAGACAGACGGGTAAGAGAAGATGCTTGTGACAGCGCAATGGCCAGCACAATGGTTGCCAGAGATATAGCCGGCAAACCCCACTCGATTTACTCCAAGTGTGGCTATATGCGTTGAGGAATTGAAGAGGGGCGCCGGAGGGGTGACGAGAGCCGCTGTAATCCATCAATAATTATTCGTACTGGTGAGCTCGGTGATTGCCCCGCGGGGATGTCTTGCAGCGGCTGTCATTGTTCGTGATGTTGTGCGGCGAGTAGGCAGATTGCCAGACAGACAGCGGGGTATCGGTATCCGAGTTAAAGACTACCCAGAATCATGCAGGCAGAAAAGCACCCATGCCCTCGAAGCCACGTCCTCGAACTCCGCGGATTACTCTACCAGTCACCTTCGCCTCAAGGTGCAGCCATTCGGTCCATCACCGCCGCTTATTAGGTAGTGTCGCTGTTGTCCCTCGGCATCTTACCCCAGACTGAGCCACGGGGATCCTCCAGCGCCTCCACGCCTAGAAGTGCCCCTGTATTTATGACCTATAGGCGGCTTCGGGCCTGACGGACCTGTTCTACAGCGCTCTCGGTCCCACCTTTTTCTTCTGGTGGCTGCCACCTTCCGAGCCCGTGCCTCGGCTCTTTTTGCTTCCCCAGCGACGCTCCGTGCATCCAGAAATCCGTTATTAGACTTGCCACCTGCGCTTTTCCATCCGTTCCCTTCTCCTCCCTCTCATCCATCTTTTTGTCCATCTATCTATTTTCACTCAAGGCAACCTGACAATCTTACCGTTGCTCTCCTCCTCTCCTCCTTACCTACCACACATCACATAACCAGTCACAATGGCCTCTCCTCGTACGTTTGCGCTCTCGCCCCGCGCCATCTCGGCATCCGAAACCCTTTTCAGCTCCGGAGAAATCGCTAACAAGTCCTTCTTCCCTCTAGAGCAAATCCGCACCCCCATCACCGATCTTTTCAAGATCAAGCACCCCATCCTGCTTGCTGGCATGAACGTCGCTGCCGGCCCCAAGCTGGCTGCCGCTGTCACCAACGCTGGTGGTCTCGGTGTCATCGGTGGTGTCGGCTACACCCCCGACATGCTCAAGGAGCAAATCAACGAGCTCAAGGAGTACCTCGACGACAAGAACGCGCCTTTTGGTGTCGACCTGCTCCTCCCCCAGGTCGGCGGCAGCGCCCGTAAGACCAAGTAAGCAAACTCGCAACCACAGAAAAACTCCGGTCACTCCGCCTCGCGCCCACGCTAGTCCAAGGCCAGTCACATGCACCATGCAGTCAACTGCGCAACGAATAGCTGCATGCGCAAGGCTCGACTCGGCCATTCTCGACGAGATGACTTCTAGAACAGCATTTGCTAACATGTCTCGCTCTGCGCAGCCACGACTACACCAAGGGCAAGCTCGATGAGCTCGTCGACATCATCATCGAGTCCGGTGCCAAGCTCTTCGTCTCCGCCGTCGGTGTCCCCCCCAAGCACGTTGTCGACCGCCTGCACAAGGCCGGTATCCTCTACATGAACATGATCGGCCACGTCAAGCACGTCAAGAAGTGCCTTGACATTGGTGTCGATATCATCTGCGCCCAGGGCGGCGAGGGTGGTGGCCACACCGGTGACACCCCCACTACTGTCCTCATCCCCGCCGTCGTCGAGGCTGTCAAGAGCGCCAAGTCCCCCCTCACTGGCGGCCCTGTCCAGGTCATCGCCGCTGGCGGTATTCATAACGGCCAGCTGCTTGCCGCCTCTCTCATGATGGGCGCTTCTGGTGTCTGGGTCGGCACCCGTTTCATCCTGACGGATGAGGCTGGCGCCCCCAAGGTCCACAAGGAGGCTGTCAAGAACGCCGGTCATGACGATAACATCCGCACCATCATCTTCACCGGCCGCCCCATGCGCGTCCACAACAACCCTTACATCAACAACTGGGAGACGGAGCGTCAACAAGAGATGAAGGAGCTTGCCGCCAAGGGCACCATCCCCTACGAGGCTGACCTTGACAAGTTCATGGACGTCATCGACTCCGGCGACAAGAACAAGATGGGCGAGGCCGCCAAAAAGATTGGCATCGAGGCTCTCGCTATCGACGAGGACGACGACCCCATCGATGCTTTCCGCCCTCTCCTGATGGGCAAGTGCGCCGCCGTCGTCAACGAGCAAAAGTCGGCCCGTGGTGTCATTGACGAGTTCGTCAACGATGCCGTCGCCTGGATGCAGCGCGGCAACAAGATGATTGCCAAGCTGTAAATGCCATTTACAACCGAAACAAGAAAAAAGAAATGGATGAAACATGTGCAATGCCTCTACTTATGCTAGTCTTGGGCTATCGGTGTTTCTTGGTTACTTCCTTTGTCATATATCCTGTAGATTAGAAAGCATCTGAATAACGATTCCAAAAAATGGAAAAATACTGTTAAAACCAGCTGCCACATTACTGCATCTCGAGTTTGTCCTGTGACGTCGCCAGTCCTATGCAAGCCTCTCCTTCTCCACCACGCAGCGTTGCGCTGACATGTGATGCCGCCCATGTTGCCGAACACGCCGCCCGTCCTTTCCCCACAAATTTATCTTGGCCCCCGCCGGTGAGCGCGCTCGCTCACTCCGGACACTTGCCCTTTTCGAGTAACCACCGAAGAAGATTGTGGAGAGAAAAGGGGCAAGGTGAAAGCGCGAACCTAATCCCCGGTGAATCTCCGAACCCTGTCCCGCGACGACAGCATCAACCTGGGGAAAGAACGTATCGTTGCAGAATGCTTCATCTTCTAATCTTCCAAGTTACTGTAAACTGTAAAAGGTGAGTTTCAAAGTAGCGAGTCACTGTCACTCATATTAACCAGTTTTTCTAGAATTCGGTTTTTTTTTGTAATTCAGTATAACCCCAAGTTGATAAGCCACTTTTGTATCCTCCCTCGGTCGTTTTTTCCCATGTCCGCGCCCACACGAAATCGTCACCACAGGAAAGACAAAAGAAGCAAAAGGAGGAAAAAAGTCTTGCAAAATTATGAATATGCTCCTTGTTGCGTGTAGATTCAAACTCGCCCCCGTCAATCCCGATAGCCTCTAAGCACCCCACAAACCCTTTCTACTTGTAAAAAACAGACTGCTCATGCTTTCCCGCCACTAGAATAATTTTTTTCGTGTGCTCTTGTTTTTCTTACTCCAGGTCATATCAACCTTGGAGGTCCGGCTACTGACACGGGCCTTAGTTGCCAAGGTACTGGCGGATGGCACCCTGCAGGCGCGTGGCACCTTCGCCGACCAGGTTGCTCAGGTTCTCCAGGTCGTCGCTGGCCGTGATGCCAAACTTGCGCACAAAGTCCTTGGCGGCCGACTCCAGGTCGCCGTACTCCTCCTCGGGCTCGTCCTCGGGGCGGCCAAAGTAAGCGTTAGACGAGATGGACGTCGCCCCCTCGAAGCCTTGCAGGCGAGTCTTGGCCTCGGCCTGCGAGTTGGGATCATACGCGCCCTTGCCAAAGTATTCGTCCGATGAGATGCCCTTCTGAGTGCCGAATTTGCTGCGGGCGTAGTTATCCGAGTCGTCTGAAAATGAGGCATGTTAGCTTGGAGACTGAACGCATTCTTCTACAATTAAGCTTACCAACGGGGGCCTTGACGGGACCAACAGAGCCAAAGCCGCCGGCATTCTTCTTGGTATCCTTGGCGGCGGCAGCCTTGGGGCCGCCTATCTGACCAAAGCCAAGTCGAGCGACGCCCATACCGAGCCTTTCTACCTCGGCGTTCGACTTTTGTCGAGTATGTGATGAGCCTCCCTGCGCAGGGCTGACGGGAGTCGGTGAAATGATAGTAGCAGCGGAGCCGGAATTCGCGGGCGTCTGCTCTTCCTCCGCATCGGGGTCGTATCCGAGCTTGGCGATGCGATCAGCCTCCTCCTTGGCCTTCTTCTCTGCCTCGTCAAAGTCGATGACGTCGCTGGTGACCTTCTTGGCACCGAGCTTTGTTGTCTTCTTGGCCCCGAGCACGTTGGTCTTGCGGGCCGCGCCTGTGGTGGTTGTCTTTCTCAGAGCCGCGGACGAGGTGCGGCTGGTGGTGGGTTTAGCGTCGGCGGCGGCATCCGGCTTGGCCAGGGGCGACGCAGATCGAGAGCCGTCCTTTCCGGCGTTGATGAAGGGAGACGGGGTGCGACCGACTACGGGCGGCGTGGCGGTGCGCGAGATCGGGGGAGTAGGGCGCTTGATGGCGGGCTTGTCCCAGGAAGAGAAGAAGTCGTCATCTGGCTCACCCGCAGGTGTCGAGGAAGCGTCGTCGGCACCGTCCGTGATAACGACCTCCTCGGGGTACGATTGCGCATCCTTTGCGGCACGTCGCTTCAGCTCCTCCTTATATTTGGTGGCGGCATTGGACTGGTATTTCGTCTTGGGGTCCTTGCTGTTGAGGGCGGCCGTGCCGCCGTTGGCGCGGAAGAACTTGGACGCAGACTCGTTGCCGCCCACCTTCATCAACCGCAGCTGTTCCCATTGCCATTGATCGAGGTTCGTAGAGCGGACAAACGAGATGTGAACGCCGAGGTTGCGGTGGTTCGAGGAGCAGTCGAGACACAGATAGATGCCGAAAGGAACGGAGGTCCAGGTGGGGTTGTTTTGCCCGCAGTCGAAGCAGGTCTGGTCGCAAACGGGATTTGTTAGCCGTAGCTGCCGCATGAGCGTCGTCCAATAGATATTTTACGAACCTTGTTAGGCAGCTTCGACTTAAGCTTCTCAAAGATCTTGTGCGACTGCTGTTTCGTCGCGAGGCCACTCATCTTGGCGGACGGCTGGCGGGGGGGGGGCGAAATGGGTGCAAACGGTCAATACTAAGCAAGTCGGGCGGGGAGAGTTGACTTCGTAATCATGTAAAATGCGAAATGGATGGTCAGCGATCAAAACAATTGCTTGGTCGCTCGCGGAGTATGGACAATACGAAATAGGGAGACTGGAGGTGAGGACACAACAGGGAGAGGGCTATTTGGGTAAAGTGGCATGAAGGGAAATCGCCCACCGTCATTGGATGGACTTTGGCAAACGCCCCCACCCGGATATTCTGCCGAGGGCGGTGGGCCCTCGACCACCAGAATTGACTTGGGTGATACTTTGAACCCAACTACACGAGATCAACTTCATCCATTGGTAGCTCTGCGATACTGAATCACTTTATGGTTCTGATTGTGCAGACAGAATCTGATGACATGGGCGCGCGAAATTTAACATCATGAAACCCGTCAACTCCCTTACGGCCCTGCGCCCCGCGACAATCTTCTTTGCTAGGGCCAACGGCTCGCGCGCCTCAATAGCTGCTCGATCGTATGCTACACAGAATAGCCAAGGACCGACTCCCCTAGGGCCAAAGAGACGAGGAGTAACGCCATTCAACGATGATGGATACGTCCCATGGACCGAGCTTTCCATCCCCGAAAAGGCGGCCCGCGCCACTCAACAGAGCTTCAACTTTGGACTAGTCCTTGTCGGTCTCGTGCTCACAGTCAGTGCTCTCCAAGCGCGGCTGTGCACTTCCTTTTGGCTCTCTGCGAATTGTTACTGATCGTGTGGCCATAGGGAGGAGTAGGATACTTTCTGTGGACAGACGTCTTTTCGCCAAACAGCAAAACGGTCCAATTCAACCGAGCCATCGACAAGATCAAAAAGGACGAGCGATGCCTAGAGCTTTTCGGCGATGCAAAAAAGATTCTCGCGCACGGCGAGGAGACTAACAACAAGTGGCAGCGCGCGCGACCTCTAGCGTACGTTGGGAGAGGTGCGATAACCGGGCCGACGATGCAAGTACTGATGCCATCATAGATCATCGGAGCGAGTGGACAAACACGGCGTGCATCACCTCCTCATGCACTTTCATGTAAGACCTGCGCTGTCACCGTGATTGAAGTTATTCTAACCGTGCCACACAGGTGGAAGGTCCACGCAACCACGGCGTGGCTCAAGTCCATATGGTGAAGCTCCCCGGCCACTCCGATTACGAGTACAAGTACCTGTTTGTCGACGTCAAGGGGCACGGAAGAATATATCTCGAGAACGCCGACGCGAAGAAATCCGATTCCGGCAAGAAGTCGTTCACCATGTTTGGAGTCAAGTGGGATTGATGCTGCTGTGAGAGACCGTCGTTCGGGGCAAGAGTTTGTTTCGCCGCCGGCAACAGATTCCCTGTACAAATTGTATACTATTTCGAGCATCATGAGAAGCCGCATTGTTTCGCAATGGACATATGGGAGACCGAGCGCGAGTGATTGGTGAAATCATGCAGTTGGGAAGTCAATCCTTGCAGTCCAACTTGAAGCCAACATGTTTGGTGTCGCTGCATCGGACGTGGAAAAGCGGAATATCTTGTCGTTGATCGTGCATGCAAAAGATCCGGCCCGAGATCCTCATCATGACGTCGGCTTGATGGCTGATGAACAAAGACTTGACGCCGTTTCCACGGGGCAGCAGAAACTGATAGCTTTCTTGTGGTCTATCCGAACACGAGCTGCGAACGTGGTAAACGTCAAGGCCCATTGAACGATATAGAGGCTCAGAAACGCGAACAGGGATCGATTTACCCAGGACAGCTTGCCAACAGCCTGGCTCAGACCGGAGCCCTCTGTTCGACCGCGCCTCGATGCTGGGTGACGCAGGCAGCTGTACCGATGGCGTTGGCTTGCCATCAACACATGCTTTTCGAATACTCCAAAAAAACAGGAGAGGTACACGCGCACTCTCCACATCACAAGTATCTTTTTTTTTGTAGGGCGATATGGCAATTCCATTTCGAGTACGGTCCCATTTCCTGACGGGGATTCGTCTTCGCACGCCCCCCAAGCAATTGTCTACAGTGTCGGAGATTCGACTACTTCTGACGGCAATACGAGCAAGTACCTACCGAACGGAGAGAAAGATTCCAGGCGACGGAGACCGTCGGAGGGTGTGCGATTAACATCAACGTGGCAACACTGAACATGAGGCTCTGCGATAGGGCCCATCCTTCCCCCAGCCGCCGTCCGGGGGGGGAGCGAAGATTGGGGGGGCCAGCGGGGGAGGACCAAGCTCGACTGGGGTTTTCTGGTGAGGTGAGGGAAAAGTGAAGAAGAAGAGATAGTGAAAGTTGCGAAAAAGCATGTGAAACCGGTCATTGCGTCAGAGAAGAAGGTGTCAAGCATCGCCAAAGATAGGTATGCACGATCCCGCCACACCACGCTGGGAGAGCTGAATCATTGGCAAAACCTTCCCGAACCCGATTGCGGATAAAGCGGCCGGGCTTTTCTTTGTTGGGGAACCGGGGGTGATGGTCACGAGCTAGCGAGTCAAATCCCTGTCGCGATAGCCGAACGCGATGATGGGCATCTTTTTACCAGTTTTATGCGTTGTTGAGCCTCACTCTGTTTTAACCTCGGCTATTCAGCACCAACAGCCCAGCCCAGACCAAGCCCAGCCTCATCACGGCCAACGGCCAACGGCCAACGCACGGCCCTCATTAACCTGACACCCAATTCCCATTTGGGTATCCGGTGCGGGTTGGCTATCATCTGATTATGTTTGTCACTTATTTAATTTTTTTTATTTCCTGTCTATATGACAACAGGCAACTGGCTCCACGTGCGCGCGGTCTCAAGCCGATTTAACCTACTAACCAAACCCCTGCCCAGAGCAATTAGTTATGTACTCACAGACACAGACACACAGACAACAAGACGAGACGGTCATGCAACTGCAGCGATAGCCATGGACAGCGGGGGACCTTGGAGCCGAGGTCCAAAAGGTTGACGCCCAAAAACATACCACGTAACACTACTCCTTGCGAGCTGTGTATACAGATCGGAGGTGCACTGATAGGCACGATTCCCGTTTCCATGCATGATACGGAGCAGGTCACCCGACGGAATCGAGCTTGACATGCCTGCAAGCTGTTCCGAGCTGCTACATGGCAATTGATGCCGCGCACGCACCTCTTGCACGACGACAGCTGGGTCTTGCTTTGATGTTGTCTTTGCCGTAGCCCGTACATGGCGGCGGCCCCCGTCTCTCACGATAACGCAGTTCAACAGTGGTGCGAGTGACAAATCTGAAAGATGCAAAAATGGCCCCGATTTGCGAGTCCTGCCCCGGCCGGACCTTTTTTCAGGATGATGAAACCTTGCCGCTGCGGCTCAACCGCCCCTGTAATCCACACCGTCATTATGACTCGCCCGCCCCGGCGACGTCGACTTTGTCTTTTCCGGACATCATGGCGTCAGTTTGCGACTGATGTCTGCCCACGGGCCCCATGTGCCATGCGCTTGGCGCGCGCGCACATCATATGCAAAGGCTTCGGCGCGACTCCAAAGCGGGCATGCAGAGGCGGGCCACGGAACCTGGACAAGGTGGCTCTGTCCGGGCATCGTCAATTCTGAAATCATCTTGTTTCTCAGTGAGCTTTTCGGGGATGCGCCAGGGCTCGCTCGACCAAGTATAAGGGGAAACGATGGCCGGTGCAATGTTTTGGAGCAGACCAGGCGACGGCGCTCGGCGAAGGCTGCTCGGTCCTCTGTGGGCCAAGCCGGTCTTGTCTTGCTTCGATTATACCAGGCTTCGATTAAGACAAAGCAAAAATGCTACATGATGCCCTCAAGGGATGGCTTCATTTGCGCCGGTAGACGACCGTGGCCGGTTCCGTCGACCTGCGGAGCGGGTTTCGCCGGCACAGCATCCAAGGACTTGATGCAGGAAGTAGGTAGGTAGAAACATCAAGAATTTCTTCCACCATGCACCCCGTGCAGTCGACGCGCATATATGCATGCCATCCAAGAAATGTAGCGTACTTTTGACAACGGCAATCCAGGCTTCATCAACAAAAGAAAAGCAGGCAATCTGCGCATTTCATTGACTCGCAGCGTAGCACTCGGGAACGCGGGCAAGTAGACCAGCCGTGCTGTCGCGTCGAATGAAACCCTTCATCTTTATGATTGACCTTTTGACTTTTGACAACGTTGACTTGGTCATGTAGCTCTCCTCTCGGCAGCAACGTCGCGCCGCATGGCAGCCTCCTTGATGGGCGTTTTTCGCCGCCTTGTCGTCCCACATACACATAACATAATAGCACAGTTCAGTTACAACCACACACACACACACACACACACCTTGGACGCGGGGACCTGACCTTGGACGCGGGGACCTGGTCTATAGGCAAATATAGTACTATGCATCGGAAGATCGAGCGGGATTCAAAACGAGAGGGTAGATCAGGCCATGCATATGTACACAGCCTACGACTGCTGCTGCTGCGACTCTCTCGGGGCGGAGCAACAGCCCGCCTGACGACAGAAAATACACTGAAGAAAAGGCATGCCGGGAGTTGACTCGTTCAATGGCACCGACAGCTCCCCTGCAGCTCGCTGCTGCAAGGGCCGGCCTCGTTCAATTCTAGCCCGTGTTCCCGGCCGGCACTTTTGCTGTATTTTTCTTGGACGTTTCTTTCCTCTTTTTTATTATATTATTCATGACTAGTGACACTTACAAATGAGACAGCCTCGTTTATACCCTCCCTCATATGTACCAGACATTCGCCGCCCCTTTCCGCGCTTTGATAGGCACTTACACGGGTACACCCCCATCTTCAAGCCATGTTGGCAAGGGTCAGAGGGGGATGGGTTAGGCAAAAAAAAAAAAAAAAAGCCTCGTGCCGTCGACTTCCTCTCTGCGGGCAAAACTACCCCAAGATATGTACACATTGGGAAGGCAAAAAGGCCCTTTTCCACTGGGAGCGCTCCGTAGTGCGGCTCCGGCCCAGCGCCCAGCGGAGTAGCTGTGCGTGCCATTGCCCGGGCTGGCTGAGGTGCTCCGCGGGTGTGTGTCAAAGATTGGTCGATATCAAACTATTATAACGCCATATTTTCTATCTCTTTGCTTCTGCAAACCAGGTACCCTCCTACTGCCCCTCCCCCCGCGTTTTGGAATGCGATGCACGTGGGGGACAAGATAAAATTCTCTCCCTACCTAGCGCAGTACATCTCAGAAACTTCTTCAGAAGCGACAGCGCTGCCCTGGAAAGGGCTGCTCCGAGAATCCCCGAGGCTGGAGTCAAGCCAGGCCCATCTCAGGGCGGCAACTACGGCGGGGACCTATTTGCCGTAATAAATGAAAGAAGGGCGCCCCAGCATCTGCAGTAGGCTAATAAAGCTGTAATAAGCGCTGGGGCCTGTCGCAACTCGATGGCCAGCAGCACGGCCTCGTCCCAGGCATCGACTGGGCTAGACGCCGGACAGGCATAGGTAACCAACTAACTATCCCACGGGGACGATTGCACGGAGTTGCCTCGCAATCCGGGGGACCAATCTGAGGACCGGCCTCCGTCCCTCCCCTGCAGCCGGCAGAAAGAAAGTGTTGAGCCGAGCGCCCAGGGGTTCGCTTCTTCTTACACAAAAGAGTCACTCACATATTCGTGAGCACAACAACACATACCGACTGCAACGTAACAAAAGGACCTGCCGAGAAGCGCGAACCCCCTCCCCATACTCTCGGCTTGCCACCTACAGGCGGGCCAATGGGTGTGTCATTCCAGGGCCTGGAGTAGCCGTTTTGGGTGACACCGAGATTGGTGGTCTGACAAGCCCTGCGACCACCTTGATGGCGAGTCAATAACTTGCTCGTGTAAGCCGAGCCCTTGGGCATGGGCGGTGGGTGTCCATTTGTCCATAACCAAGAGAATTGCCCTGCATAGCCAGGCCCGGATTGTATATACCGGCGACGATATCTGTAAAAAGTTAGGTAAATGTACCGAGATGACCCATCTAATCGTTGCCGTACGACGAAGGCTGGAGCTTGTTGATCGCCCATTGGCATCTAAATGGACGCCCCTTGCCCTTAATAATTGGTCGAAGGCTTTGGGAGGGTTACATTCATCGTAGATGGCAAAGGGAAAAAAAATTATATAAATTACGAAATGAATATTTAGATTGACAGCCCACGGTGAGCCTTCCTTTACCGAGCCCTGCTCCAGTAGACACGCCGTCGGTCAGTCCTTTCGCCCGTTACGCAATACAGGCGCGCACCGAAGCTGCGCCTCCAAGGAAGAGCCCTTGATATTGATCATTTCAAAAATTGCCCACACAATCACTGTAACACTGCATAC